TGAGGGCTAAAAATAGGACTAACAGATTTCATGCAAACATATCAATGCCAAGAAAGGGGGCAAGAACTGGAGTGTGCGTACACAAATCTTAACGTGTGGCTGTGTGTGTGAGGGTGAGATGGACACCATTGCTGTCCAGAGAGTAGACATTGAGGGGAAATAGCTTGAACAATGAAATAAAATAAATTGTGTTAAATTAATTGGCTTTGAGTCCAGACTTGAGGCTTCTTCCCTAGGGATTAGAGGTGGTTGGCAGCTGTTTGCCTTTACATGCTGGGAGTGACAAGGGATGTGACACCCAGTGATGGGAGATGATATGATGGCAGTAAGCAAATCACAGAGGAAGGCAATCATGTGATAAAAATATAAAACGGTTGTCTAATATGTCAGATCTTTACTGCTTAAGAGAAGAAATATGTCATCTACCTTGCACTGTTCAGGTTCCATGTTTTAAGCTTCATTCTGTCATAAAATGGAAATGCTGCAACATGATGCTCCTGTCAGAAAGGCTCCCTGCTGTGGCAATACAGTACGTTGCAGCAGAATGAAATACTTAGCACATTGATAAATAACATGCAGGGACCAGTGCAAATAATCCCCCAGTGGTTATTAACTTAGAAATAAACGCCCTCAGGGCTGCGCACAAGCAGAGCAGAACCAAAGCAGGTGGAGGCTGAGTGGAGCAGCAGGAACAGCAGCAGGAACACGTCAGCATGCACACTGGATGTGGATGTGAAAGTGAGGCTCTCTGAATAGGTGCCAGAACTGTGCAGCGACATGTGATTACAGAAAATGACGCCTGGCTTGGTCATGTTAGAATTACCTAATTTTGCAATGTTATTCTTCATCACAAGGCCAAAGCTAAACAAATGTTAAAGGGGCCTTATGATGCTCATCAAGCCTAGCATCTGTATCGTTTGAAGGGGGGAATTCCTCCGTAGGGCTGCTCACGACTTGTAGTGGCTCAGTAGAAATCTCCTGACTTCACCGCAAATGAAGAACCTTGGATTCTACTGATTTTATTACCCACAATTCATTGCAATACAGAGTTCACTTTATGAGATTTCCAAACAAATGTGTAATACTGTATTAAAGCATTACTTGAATCTGATCGGAAATACATGATTGTAGAATGTTCCCACGGCAACGGATGAAACAGTTTTCGGGCTTGTCTATCAGCGGATTTTATAGCCTGACACCCTCGCGGTCCCCAAGTCCACAGGGTGCCATTTGCATTCAGCCGACACGTGCAACCTGTGAAACGGTGTCATTAAGAGAATTTAGAGCCAAATTAGAATTATATTAGTCTACCAATCTAACCTGTCAGGCTCCTCATAAAGGGATGGGCCAGGTCGCCACTGGTTTGTTATACAGAGAGCAAGGCCTTGATGAGCCTTAAAACCAGTTTATTCCAGAAATGTTTCTCAAAGTAAATGGTGGTAGATGGATTCCTTGAGAATCATGACCAAACATCCTTTAAAACAGGTTTTGATGGGTGGGTGAAGGTGATGAGAAGATCCGAAAAGCATGCACAATTCTCTGTCACTGAGCGACAGCACTGATCTAATTTTAGCAATACTACTTAAGAAAACATGATGAGAGAAGCTTTTGAAAAACAAAACAGTTCCTGCAGGACCATGATACCGTTGATCATAATAATGGTGAGAAATGTGTGGGCGTGCTATAATTACCAGGAGACTAGTGTTGTAATCCCTGGTGTATGCAAACATTACTGCACAACATATTTTAAAAGCGGGGTATCTTTTTGGATTGCTGAATGTGTTTTATTCTACTTCTAATTCAGACAGTTTTTTCAGTTTGGTAAATAAGACCAGAAACTTCAAATCTGCTTTGGAAAATGACAGAGGTGTGGACTGGAGTCACATGGCTTTGACTACAGTCAGACTGAAGCCACACATTTGATGACGTTTGACTTAATCACAAAAGGCTTGCAACTCAAGTTGGACTTAAAGACCAATAACTCAAGACTTCAGTTTCACTTGTGCCTTTTCAATTGAAAATACTTGGTAGCTTCCCCAAAAGCCCAAAGATAAGTTGGCCATAAATCCTTTTTTCATACCCAGCAAATAGACTTAAGTAGTTTGAATCTGTCTGACAATCAATCCAATCAATTTAAACCGTACCATCTGTTACTGAGCACCAGTTGCAAAAAATATATTTACCAAAGATAATGTCATTCGCCAACATAAACCACTTGGCGGTCAACAAAAAACTAAACGAACTAAGGCACATTATGGCTTGTTTTGGACTAACATTTTTGGTCATGGGACATGCCTTGGGTCTGAATTCAGGGCTTTACAACCTTGTCTTGGGACTACTTTGCAAAAAGCTCCAATAAACTCCTCCAATGATCCCACCTTTAGACAAATGGTCACTAATCCAAGAGTCAACCAAGTGGTAGAAATGTAAATGAGTATCATGATTTAAGAGAAAGTAAAGAATGAGTTTGATGATTTTGGAAAAGTTTGAGAAGTTGTTGCTGGTGGAGAATATTGACCACAGGGTTAAGGCCTCCAGTCTTTAGCGGCAAAGTCAAAGGAGGAGGGGATGGTTTGCAAAGCATCTCTGTTGAGATACACATCTTCTTTATGCGTCCGAGCAAGTCTTCTTACTTAAGGGATCCTATTTTCACTCTTGGAACTTTTTTTGTTATCACAATAGAAGCATGCAGAATCCCTAAGGTATTTATAGGATCTTTATCCTGATTATGCATTGACCACAGAAAAAGAGACTTTAATAACTGCATCCCTGTGCCATACGGTCCAACACTACTTTCTCCCTATAGGTATCATTTACCGGTATAGTGTTTCCCCTGTGACTGCATTCTACTATCAAGGGAATCCCTGCTACCGTTTTATTGAGTAAGACTATCCTTTCATGCACTAAATGCTCCTATCTAGGATAAGTGGTGTAGGATGCCTCGGTAGAAGGCAGAATGCCTGCCAGTGACTGTTTCTGCTGTTTAACTAGTCACTCCACATCTGATTGGCTGACTTTAAATTAATCATTCATTACTAGTGTGTCAGTGTTTGGTGTAGCGTACTTGCAAACTAGGTCATTTGGCACGAACGAATGTGCTCTCAGGCTTCGAGAACGGACATCTTGCATAAGCCTCCAAACATTTCAACACCCAGTTACGAAAGTCCCATTTTCAGCCATACATCCATGTGTCACATAATCATGTTCAACTTACCTTAAAGCACTTACTGTTGTAGTTGCCATGAACTCACTTGTTTGTATGCTTTTTAACACATTATTGTGTTACTGAGTACATTATAAACAAAAACCTCATGATTGTACATAAATTAATGTAGTGATGTCTTACTTAACACATTGAATTATATATGGTGTTCCTGCAGTAATGCAATTGTGTTTATTGACTTTGTCTGCTTGGGTATACATTTCTCATTTATCCGTTTCCATGGACAGCTGCTGGATTTTCGCGATATCACAAGATCACACGTAAATCCCTCTTGTAAGAAGGTTCAGAGCGATATTTTCGCTCTTCAACATACTGGCCTTGGCAAGAGTTTGATTGACAGATGGTTGATCTAATCACCTGCCAAGTATTTTTTGAAAGTGCCTGCCCTTATTCAAACAGTTTCCAATGACGGCTTCTCAGATGGTTCTGTGTAACAAACCGTCTGGAGCGTCAGGTTAAATAGTTCTATTTTATGATAGTGCCCTCTAGTGGCCAAACAATGCAGCTTTTACCAAGGTCCCCGCCGGCGGGGACCCTGTTTTTTTTTTTCAGGACACTGTGTCTCAGGGGATCTTAATATTTAAGAACCTATTAATTTGTTATACCAGATTAACATAAATAATCTCAGCTAACTGACGATATAAATCATTTTTACCAAAACAAAACACAAGTCTCATAAGAAGCATCTAAATGACCCCTTAGCGAAAAATGCTAACGGACATTGGCACAGAACTCAAGATAAAGGTACCCTTATTACTTATCGTAGCTGCACATACAAGATATCCGATTAAAGCTGAGGTTCCACATATTATTTAGGTATATAGTATCATCACTGAGTGATCCGAACTTGCGACAGGGGAAGTAAAGACAGACATCACAACACGTACCTTTACGGAGCTTCTAGGGAGATCGTCTCACCGTAGCTGTTAATCTGATCAAAAGACGTGTTCAATGGCATTAAAACGAGTAAAAACGCAGCTGAATCGGTTAATCCATAGGTTGATAAAGTTTCTGGGCAATAATTTGAATTATGTATAATCCATAATTCCATTTTTATGTAAAAATCGCAGAGCAAAAGTTAGCTGCTAATGGTGCTTCCGGTCTTGGCAATGCAGCAGTCTAACACACACACATGACCAAATAAGGACTATGTGGGAGTTCCCCTTGATTCCATTGGCTCTGACGGTTAGAAAGAGATGTCACATGTCAAAATCCAGCAGGGGGAGCCAGAGATATGAAAAATCCACCCAAATGGCCCCAGAAGAGGTTTTTCTTTTGCTAAATCTGTCTAAAAAGGTCAAATATCACTTGTTTTGCATCAATCCTGATACAGGGTACTTATTATATGTTGTACTTTGGATTCCTAAAGCTTTTAGTCTACTAACCCATCATCCAAGGTTAGTTTTCACTATAAGTACAAAATATCTTTTGGACGGACACTATAATTTACAGTTTTTTACCATGTTCAATCTGAATTTTCTTTAAAATAAAAAACATCTATATTGAATCTGACTTTTCTACATCCAACTGACAGGTTTATCATTATTTTGAGAAAAAAGATTATTAATTTAACCCTTTTAGAAGGGAAGATATGGTCATTTGTTCTGGGAATGTCATTTTCGAGCCTGAAACCTGAAAATCAGGCTCGGGGTTTAACAGGTTAAGGGGGTATTCCACCAGTTTCTTATAAATGTTATTATTATTTTATCAAACTTTTATTTAACCAGGTTTTCCCATTGAGATCATCGATCTCTTTTTCAATGGAGAACTGTCCAACATGGCAGCAAGTATGTTACAACGTGAACATAAAACAACAGATAACACAAAAGGACAATGATACAAATGATACCCATGATGTCATCAAGTAACCTCATTGAGAAACACCACTGGCAACGTTCCGCCCAAGGCCCTATCCTCCCCTATTAGAATTGTACACTTGCGTTGTGTTTTGGAAGTTATACGGTCTGTGTTTACATTAGCAAGCATCACTAACACCCAGAGCTAACACTATACTGGAGAGAGTATGTGTAAAAAAACGGATATAAGAAGGTACTCAACTTGTGGTAAACCCGCGAAAGAGAAATGTTTGAGCTCCATACTGTTTCAGAAATAACCCTTGATATGGTTTGGAACATAATATGGCGTTTAATAACGGTAGCGTTTAGCTGAGTTTCTGCTGGAAGACACTCTTCTCTGAGAGCTCACTGCTTGTATGCGGAAAGGGGCGGGCCAGCAGCAGCTCAGGTTACATTTGAAGCTATGGACCCAGAATCAGCACATTTGTATCAGGGCTGAAATAGAGGAGTATGAGGCATGCTTCAATACTTGATCTGTTTGATATTTTGAGCAAAACCCTTCATAGACATGTTTTTGATATATCTGAAACCTATAATATATGCCTAAAAATAGTATAATAGGAGACCTTAAAACCAAACATTTTTCTGATGGCCAGCAGGGGGCGACTACACTGGCTGCAAAAATAATTCAGATTGTATAAAAGTTTATGAAAAAATCTGTTATATTTTACTGACCAGTTCATGGCCTCAATCACTAGTCTAACGTTGTTTTCAATACAGCATGAACATCAGTTATTAAGTTGGTCCTTTAGAGAAAAACATAAAGCAGGGTATGCTTTAGGATTTGGCTACCTTGTGAATGACAGAAAGCTGAACGGTCTGGGTGTTTCGTCATTGAACTTGAACCCTCATACAGTGTGTGTCCAGTTCTACAAAAGATTGGCCTAAAATGCATTTTTAAGTGTTTGATTGTATTCACCTTCACCCTTACTCAAAATATGGATACTTCTGGTTTAAATAAACTAAGATTGCGAAGGCCAAAAACCAACCAACCTATCAAAATGCCAAACTCAGGGCATCATAAAAGATGCGGACAAAACAATTGATTACATCTCAGTTACTACATCTTACCTCTCAGTGAAGCGATCACAGGCTCATCTAGAGAATATGTAGCCACCTTCCATTATTGTAAATCCTCCTCCTCCCCCATCCACGACACAGGCTGGCATGCAAATTAAATTACAGACGATATAGAGCTCCATAGGGTACTGAGAGTGCACTCAATTCCACTAAATTCCAGTGCCTGTGTTTGTGTGTGTGTGTGTGTGTGTGTGTGTGTGTGTGTGTGTGTGTGTGTGTGTGTGTGTGTGTGTGTGTGTGTGTGTGTGTGTGTGTGTGTGTCAGTGTGTGTGTTTATGTTTAAAGAGAGAGAATTAGTCCTGAGAGAACTGCTAGAAACCTTGGAATTGACAACCCCTCCCCCCTACCCTCTGCTGAAAAGGACTTTCCTCTTGCCAAGTGGCAGCGTGTATCAAGGCCTTCATTTCAGGATCGTAGCAAATGAGCTATATTTCTCTGTTCTGTTGCCATGGGTAACACATATTTTTCTTCTCATGTCTAATCTTGGCGTCTCTTTGAGATATCTTTCATTTGGAAGGCCTGCCTGCTGCTGCAGCGTTGGTACTGCCTTGTCAGATACGAGGCTTTGCGGTGCTACTGTTCGATGTATGGATGGATTATTTGATCAAATATGCACTGTAAACAGCTGAAATAGGCTTTTTAATCTACGTCTACGACTGCTTTGGCATCTTAAACAAGCATTCCTCATAAAGCTTCACATCTACATGTAATGTTCTCCTAAAATAAATTACAGAAGTTTGAAGCACTATGGAGTTGTGTGGCTGCACTGGAATAGTTACGTCTTACTGGTCAAATCATCTCCGATGATTATGGGGGCTTGGGGAGTAACAGAGAACATGGAACAATGTTTCCTGTACTGTATAGGAGTTAAAAAAGATAACTTTTTTCTGTAAAGGTTACATCAAGCTTGGTCAATGGAGACGTCATCACTAATAGAAAGTTATGTTAATGTTGACCTTGTGTTTTAAGAGACTTTTAAAAGGACACCCCAGAGTGCATGTTAGAGTTTAACAAAAATAAATCTCCTCTGGATGAGGAAATGCAGACCAACAGCTTTATATTAAATATTTACAAGCATTCAACTGAAATTTAAGTCAACTACGCAGATATTACTTTAAATAAAATAATAATTTAAATTATTAAATGACTCAAACATCACATTTTAAATGTTATTAGAATAATATGAAATGGTGGTGCTTTAAAGTGACTGTGATTATTTTCTCCGCAGGTGAATACACTGTGATGACGGCTCATTTCCATCTGAAGAGGAAGATTGGTTACTTTGTTATCCAGACATACCTCCCGTGCATCATGACAGTCATCCTTTCCCAAGTGTCTTTCTGGTTGAATAGAGAATCAGTGCCAGCCAGGACTGTGTTTGGTAAGCGTCTGCCTTTGTCAACGGCCATACCATCTTTCATTCAAAGATATATTTTAAATGGGTAATAAACCTCTGGCTTTACCTGTCATTAACGTAATCATGGGTGGGTTACCAGACAATAGAGCCCTGGGCTGACACATGAAAAGGCCCCATCAGCTGCCCTACATAAAAGCAACACTCACAGACTTTAAAGTTGTTTGGCATCTTTGTGTCCCTTTTGTAGTCGTTACACATCTCTCTGTGGTTTTTGTATCTCTTTGTAGCTGTTTATTGTCTGTTAATATTTGTATTTATTATCTCTGTCTGGTCATTTGTGTTTCTTTGTAGTTGTTGTGTGTCTCTTTTTAGTTGTTTTGTATCTCTTGGTAGTAATTGTGAGTCACTTTGTAACCATTTTGTGTGTCTTTGTAGTCATTTTCTGTCTTTTTGTGTTTTGTTATTGGGAATTTCTTTGGTGTCTCTAGCTGTTTTGCATCTCTTTGGGATTCATTTAGTCTCTTTGTGCGTCTTTTTTTAATAAACTCCCAGCCGGTAGTTGTTTTTAAGTCACATATTTGATGGGAAGGCCAGGGGAGCTCCCTGACATTTTGGGCTGGTTCAGTTAACCATATATGAATGGAATTGGTTTGTGAATGTGGGATTTCACACGCATGATAGCATGAGGATTTTGCTCTAGTTAGTCAAAATCCCTGTTGTTAGAATGGGGGAATTGAATACAGCAATAACAATTGATGACATAGTGGAGAATAGGAGAAAACAAAATAAAAAGGAAAGAGTCTTCAGGGGCCTTTCAATCTCATAGGGCAACATGTTTTTAGACTTGTTTGTTAGCCAAGTGGAACTAATGACAGTTATCTAAGACTGGTTTGCTTGTAGAAAGAAAAAGAGGTAGAGAACTCTTGTCCTTTGGCCAAAGATAGCAAACCTGCTGAGCAGTTAAAGCATTACTGACGGTCAGTGGCTCTAAGGGTAGAGTAGGCTAATAGTGACCTTATACTTTTAAGAACAAAGGACAGTAAAGACTAATGCTTATTCTTAAAAAGGTCAAACAGTGGTTACAGTGTTATCTATGTATATTATATAACGCAATAATTTCTTAATGACTGATTTTCTTTTTTCCATTTCTAGGTGTAACCACTGTTCTCACAATGACAACACTGAGTATCAGTGCAAGGAACTCACTTCCCAAGGTTGCCTACGCCACTGCCATGGACTGGTTCATCGCCGTCTGCTACGCCTTTGTCTTCTCCGCTTTGATCGAGTTTGCCACTGTGAATTACTTCACAAAGCGCGGCTGGGCTTGGGATGGAAAGAGTATTGTGACTGAAAAGGTAACAAGTTGAAAAACTATTTGTTTGACAGGCTACATTTTCAAAGCGAATCTATTGGCATTGTGACCACTGTACGTTGAAGAAAGTAATGCTTTCAGATTGGACAATGGAGTGCTGAACCATTGACAGTTCAAACATATGGTTATCGTTTGGAATGAAAAGAAAACTACTCACTGTAGTTGAGAAAATGGTTGTGGTTCGGGTATATTTAAGTTTATTACATAACAACAGATATGTATACAGGTCAAAGTATCTTAAGTAAGTTACGCATGTTAACAATTTTCTTTCCACGTTGAGGAATGATAACAGCCTACTGAGCCAGGGTGGTAAAGCAGGGCTACACCACCTCAAATCTAGGATTCCTATTACCACTGACAATGGACATTAAATGGGCTGATTATATTCAAAGTTAAAGGGTTCTTACAAATATCACTTCCTGTGTGACCTCACCCTGCGTCCAGTCCATGTCAGTATTAGTCCACCTGTGCTGCCAAGTTTCAAACAACCTCGGAAGTAATGGAAGGCAAAAAAACGTTGAAAGTTACAGTGCATCCTTGTACAATTGTTGACATATTTGGCCTTGGTGTTGATCTATTACCAGAAGGCATCCAATGCCATTTCGCTGCTTCATTTACATGTCATTTAAATTCATGGATAGACTGTGACAAGTGACAGATTTCAGGGTTGCATCTGTCTTTAAAAACGTTCACATCTAATCCTTGTGGTCTTTCAACAGAAAAAAGAGAGGGCTTCTATCGCCAAGAAGAATAATGCCTACGCTGTAGCAGTGGCCAACTACGCGCCAAACATCGCCAAGGACTCCAGCACACTTCCAACTATCGCTAAAGGTGGATCTATGGATCCTAACAAGCCTAGAGCAGACGGCAAAGCACCAGATAGCAAGAAGACATTCAACAGCGTTAGCAAAATAGACAGGATGTCAAGGGTTCTGTTTCCGGTTCTCTTTAGTAGCTTCAACGTTGTGTACTGGGCGACCTACTTAAGCAGAGAACCCGATATAAAGGACATGGTCCCCTCCACTTAGAGGCCAGTTGTAGTGCATTCTGGTCTGGGGTCCAAGAGACGAACCAAATACCTCCAGCAACTGTGTACATATACCTTTGCAGAGTGAAGTCCTGGATTGCAGTGTGATCCTCTATCTCCGCCTGTTTTCTACACTGTCTGCAGCACTTTTGAAAAGCCCGGCTTTTGTAAATGTGTATGCATATTTATATTCATGGTTTCATGGTGACATATCGTGTGGTTACTTCTATTAGAGTGCATATTACCTTGAAAGTATGTTTCCAGTTACAGTATGTGGCCACTGTACATACAACTCAAATGAAGAGTAAACAAATAAACGTGAACACATACATTTTATTTACTTCTAATGTGTTGAAGTTTGCTGGTAATGCCCACTCTCTCAATATTATAGATTTTGTTTCTCTTTTGAGTGAAAGGATTTTTATCACATTTAATTACTTTCTTTGCCATCTAAGAGTGGCCTGACTCTTTTTTTTTCAAAGCCAATGCAAAAACACATTTTGTATAATATTGTTACAGTGTCAAAGTTGTTTTATTATCTGTGACTGCAATCACACTCTGACCTCCAGAGTTATTGAAACACCTCAAGCCAAAAATGTTGTTAAATATAGAAAATGCATAACATTAGTGTGCTTGTGTGGTATTGTGAAAAAGTAATGAGAATACATTGGGTAGGAAAGAAACAATCGAGAAACAATCAAACAAGAAACAGAACTACAAAACACACATAGTGTTGAGGTGTTAAGAGAAAAAACTCAAGCGTTAGGTCAGTAATGCCTAAAATAAAGTCACTATGTTTTTATTCAGCGCAAATTAAGGAAGCTGATATTCAGTCAAAATAAATTCAGAATGAAACAACGTTTGTTTTATATGTTTACACACTAATTGTATGAGGTTAAGTTTTGTTAGCCCTGGCAGAGTTTAAGAATAATGAAAAGGATTTATTTTTAACCTGAATTAAACTATATAGCCTAACTTAAAAACATTATGAGCAATACCTGGCCTAATGATAGGAGTCTATGAACTGTATCAGGGATTTGATATGCAACAGCAACATCATGGACTAAAATAACCTTCAGAATCTAAATGTATTTATCAATGTTTGACCGCTAGAAGAAAAATAAAAGAACACAATAAAGAGCTGACAGAAACACATCCCCCTATTATCAAACAAAGTGCCAAAAAACAGACACACAGCAACATTATCATCACATTGGACCTTTACATCTTACAAATGTAAGTCCAGTATTCACTCTTCGTTTAGCTCTATTTTGGTCTCCTACAACTCCTGATGCAAATAACTGGGACTTTAGCATTTCATTTGTCTGACTTTCTTCCCCAGCCAGCCGTAGCTAACCTTGTCAGATTGACAATTGGTACTGTTGATAGTTGATTTACAGAATACAGTAAATGTAGAGATTTCAAACCAAGAAAAAAAGAGCTACAAAAGGCTAAAAAGCAACTTGAGCGCTGCTGAGCGTGACCAAAATGTTCTGTAGGTACGTCCTCTCAACTTATCGCAGACATGATGATTAGTTCTTTATAAAAGGATTAACGCCACAACAATAATAAAAGTACAGATAATAATTCATTGCTAAATGTGCAAAGAATTTAAGAGATTGCAAATAAGAAACATGAACAAAAGAGGTGTTGCTGCACAAGCACACTAATACAGACCATTATTTACTTTTTAAATGATTTATTTACCAAGGTTAAAAATCCAAATTCTAATTTTGATGTGTTATTTGAATGCATACAAACTCCTCAGTGTGAAATGTGAAAAAGTCCCATGACTCATTTAAAATGATTATATGGCTGCTTTTTTGTTGACAGACCCGTGCTGGAAGTAACTCTGGAGGACAGTGTGGATGAATTGGTGTAGACTAGAGCCCCGTGGCACTACTTATCAGCATGTCTGCCATCTTTCATATCCATTGTCTGTCCCTTCACAACATTTCATGATCACACAAGCTATTCAAACAAATTGCAGGGATAAAACAGCAAACACGGGCCTGTTTTGTGCCAAAATCAACCCCCATCAATCGTTTGTAGAAGATAGTCACATTCTTATACCAGTATTTATTATTTTTAATTTGCCTAAAGTGAGAAAATACAGCCAGGTTTTGGGACTCAATTATTTATTTTCTCATAAAATGGTCTTAGATTTGTAGCTTGATCTTGTATTTGTATGCAGATTGATTGTCACTAAAACTTTGAATTAACTCAGAAGCCATACAGTCATCATGTAATCCAATTCCATCAGCAACAATACAACAGGGACAACCAATGATTGTACTTTATGAGCATATGACACTGTGGTAAAAAAAAGATGTATAAACCTATTTTGAAGATATCACAGATGCTGTATATCAAGAAGACAAATCGTGTATCAAGCCCCATATCAGCAGCCATAAGCAGTATGGTACTCTACTGTAAGTTTTTCCTCATAAAGTGATATTTTGCTTCACACCTATATTTATTTTGTTTTTGTTTGTTGACTCAAACTTTGCATGAAGAAAAAAAACCTAGCTTTTTTATTTATTTTTAAGAAATTATGTTGTCAGTTAGAAATTATTTTTAATTCAAATTCCACATCCTGATAGAATCTTAAACATTCCAGATAAAATGATTGTTCAAGATGTGGATGCTTGATTCGGTGCACAGTTTCTAATAAAACACATATCATTTCAATTCTTTATATCTAGTGCGTGCCATGTTTTTTAATTAGAGCCTGACTGATGTAATACAAATATGATAATGTCATATTGCCCCATTACCTACGGTGGCAGACAGGCGCAAACACACTGCAACGGCCCAAAATATTTACATCACATGAAACATGTTGCAAATATGAAAACACAAATGTGCCATGCTGCAAAACACAACAGAAAACAGGGAGACTAAAAAAGTGATGCACACAGCATGGGACCGGAGGGCTTGTTGAGATTAGTTTTAAGGCCAACAATCACTGGAAACGTACCTTAAATGTAATTTATTGGCTTTTTTTAACAATGTGATCCCATGATTGCTGTAAGCTAGCTAGCTAACGTAGCTAACCTAGTAATTATAAATATACCGGCAACACTCTTACGATTCTGAATCAGACTAACTATGCTAGAGAGAGATTTGTACAACTTTATAATCCCCGAATGTCAACAAGTACTACAGTCCCAGCAGTGTCCCCATCTCCGTTGTTTTTGTAGCTTCTTGCAGCTTCTAGCAGCATTTTGTATTTGCAGCGCTTTTGGTAAACTTGTAAATTATTTCTAAATGCTGAGCAAGTTGGTGAAGCTATTTCTTAATTTGCACGTGTTTTGGCACATTTGTGATTTCATATATTACATAGTTTGTCTTAATGTAAATGTTTTGCGCCGTTTGTTGCACGTTTGCCACTGTTGGCCACCCTCATTAGCTGATACAGTACATATGGCGATACGTTTAAAAAGAAAGTGGGGTTGTATGAGGGCCCTTTGCATAGACATGTACAGTGGATGACAGTCACCATGCCCTATAGTTTGGAGAGACAGACAGAAGTACCTGCAGGAACCTATGTACTGCAGTGGAGAGGGGCAACAAAAAACATATTTTCGTTCGGGGAACTAAAGTCGTTATCTATGCTCTCTTCTAACCACCGGACACCATTGACACAAAGAGTTGATGATGTAATGTTTCATTGATTGGCTCGTGTGTTTGTGTTATTGTGTGACTATGGTGTTACTAAAGGGTTATTTCAGATTCAACAAAATGACATAAACAAAGTAACACATTAAGGCAGCAGCGGTAGATGAGCAACTCAGCCTTCTTCGAAAATGACTGCCTTTGTCAACGGAGTATTGTGGTGTGAAAGAAAGTATTAACGGATTCAGTTCGCCGTCCAAAAGGCTGTCTGATGGCACGGTAAGGCAGTGGAAATATACTGTACACTTAAGCTGACATTGAAGTTTTGCTGTATGTTCCTCCAAACAATGGAGGAACATCCTTCAAACCATCCCAACTGTCCAATCTTATCTCTGAATAACCCCAAATTCCCAGAAGCCCATCAGATCATGGGAGCGTGAGCGAGACAACTCAGCGCCTCTTTAGCAGAGAGGATGCTGTCACGAATGCTTGGACGCTGCTAGTGACTGTCATTACGAGCGTGTTGGTAAAACCAACAGAGAAAGCCCTGTGGCACTGAGCTGTAATGCAACGCTCGCTGAAGTTTTATTTTCTGGCCGGATCTTTCCACCACTCAAGCGTGGTGTGAGGTCTCCTCTTCTTCAAGCTCCATTGCCTCAGACCACAGCCGACCCTGGTCATCTACTCAGAGGCTGCCTGACAGAAATCTGATGGATGGGAGGTGTCTAACTGCACGGCAGAGCAGGGATTATTACATACATGTCCTGGCAATCTTCATAGTTGAAGATAATTTACATTTATTCAAAATGTCGGATCGGAATACTAATAGCATGCATTTTTGTAGAGTTCAACTCTTATCAGAGAGTCCTAGTGAAAGAATAAGTATTGCTTTCAAGCTACTGCTTTAAATTGGACATTGACTAAAGACCTGAAATCTAAATTTGATTTATTTGTAGTAGCAAGAGAACAGGCCGATGCACTCCTGGAGAATTAACATAGGAAAAGCTAAGCCTTAGAAAGGTTATGTGGAATCAATATACATGATTACATTGTTTTGTTTTCAGGAAACTTGATCTAGAATGCTGCTGTCTGGCAAACGTTGCTTCATGCGCAAAGCATGAAGGAGGCAAAAGTCATCCCAAACATTGGGAGATCGGTTAGGATGGATCAAATAAACACAAGTCTTTCAGATTACTTTTCGTGCCCCTTGTTAATCCAAAAGTCTGTCACAATCTTAAGGAGAACCCAAATGCAGCACTCGAGAAACCAAGGAGAATTGGTAATAAACTTTATTGGAGATTCCACTGGATCTGAGGAATACCAACCGAGCAGTTTAATGCACCGGAGGACAGCCGGCAGAAGGTGAGTCAGGGACAGGCAGAGAGTCAGGGAGTAAGCGAGGCGGTCAGCGTAGATACTGGCAGGGTCGGATAACAGGCCAGACCGGATAGTCGAGGGACAGGCAGGATCAGGGAACAGGCAGAGCAGGCAGATCGGGGACAGGCAGGGTCGGAACCGGGTAGGCAATCTAGTATCAGACGCAGGAAAGACAAGCATGAGGCAAAGTACAATCTGACAAAGAGTGTGTGTAAGGTGCGGGTTTAAATACTGGCAGAAGCTAATGGGTGCACATAATACGCTCCGCCCTGACTCACCTTCTGGCGGAAGTTGTGTGGTAGGGCCCTCGTGATGCTCATAGATTCAGTACGAAAACCTCGAATGGTGCGGGGACGGTTCTTTAAGGTCTTCGTAACCATTTACTGCACGATTTGCTCTTCTTTGTTACATTATTCCTTGGTGTCTACTAAACAAATTGAACCTACTGAGGACTAGAAAGGTTCTGAGTACTTTTCTTTGTTGGTATATTTTTCAGGTCCGCCAAAGTCCTCTAACGACCTCTTGAGCGACAAACAATTCTCTGCACGTTCAAAAGTGTGTAGGAGACAGAGAAAAGACCCTATCCGTAGCACTCTGTACCCCCGTAGCTCTACCTAGAAGGTTCCAACTACGTCAGTAAAGGACCGACCAATGTCTTAGGGCCTTCGAACCGATGTTTGTCAAGGAGCCAAGCGGTTGATTATATGTGCCAAGATTTAGCATATACTATATGTTCTATGGAACCGGCGTTGTTGAGAGTGTGTATCTCTGAGGAGACTCCAATCACAAGGTCACCAGAGATAGACCGACTCCTCCGCAAGGTCTTGGAATTCCGGTCAAGTGGAGGCGGGGGATAGGGGGCTACCATGAGGCTAAGGACTTTCTAGTCAAACAAACCTCACCTACAGAACGACTATACCCCCACCCTCGGTAGGATAGAGTCGCTCGTTACTTAGTTCCTGCAAACTGAGGTCGTCTTCTTTAATTTTTTTACTACACCCTTTGGCCCTCGACGATCGTCACTTCAATCGAGACCTCCTCACCGCAGTGCACCGAGCTCCCTGGTCAGTTGTAAGGACCACACCTGGCTGGTGTTCGTTAAACCTCATGTAGGCCAGCCGGGCGTCTGACCTTAAGGGCTGTCCGATATACCCGGGAAAAGAAGTGAGCCAAAGTTAGGAGGGGAGAGTGAATTTGTTCGTTTGTATCTCTAGAAGCCTTTCTAATTCCGACTGCGAGAAAGAGCAAGTCAAACCTCTCCCTCCATTGTAAGGGTCCCGAACCCTCGTAGGAAGGCTGAGGACTGAGCACGGCGGGGAGTAGACCTCCCACATCCTCTCCTAGTTCGGCGGGTCGTCTGGTCGGCCCTGATCACGGACAGGAGGCTTGGCGGACATAGCACAGGCGTCTGTAACTCCAGACTACATAGGTCACCCGGAGTCACAATGAGGTCTGAGTGGTACGGTAGAGACCCATGTCTTGTTGCATGTTACCCTCCTCAGTCGTTTTCCAAGACCACCTGTGACCCTGTGTCCCTTAAACAACGGGACGGGACAAAGCGTAGGTCAAATGAAGTGGTTCGAGGACGACCAGAGGATGCTGGAGACCGGTATAGGGAAGTAGCGGGTGGACAGAGTGTAAAGAGGTACGAACAATGACCAGACGGGTAGCAGGTTACCTGTGTGGCGGTCGAACGCCACAGGCTTAAGTCATTCTACCGAGTAAAACACGGCTATGGGTTCGAGGGAGTTCGATTTCCTGCTCTCCCTGATCCAGGACGAGGTACAACAAGGCCGAGGTACCCGACGGATAAGCTAGCACCGAAAGGCTGATCACCAGGAGTTAAGATGGAGGGCCACAAGTCCTCCCTTAAGACGTGCGAGGAACCCCGGTCCAGTCAGGACAGTAGGGCCAAATTATATGTAGGCGTTGCGAGTTACCCAGTCTGTCTTTCTTCTGTCTTTCTTTACCTCTGCTGGAATGCGACATATCAGATGGTTGCGTGTGCGTCACCGGACCCGATTTGTTGACGAGACCCAGCTCATGCGGGTGTGTGAACCCAGTCAAGCCGTGGGTCGGGGGTAAAGTCGGCCACGATGTCCAATAGGTTGGGGGAGACATAGGGCCGGGACCTCTCCCTCCAATGGAGCAGCGGGCACGGTCCCCGAAAGTAGGCATCAACGGCTGCCTTGACCTTTAGTTGCGGGCCTCTTAGAACCAAACCAAGCCGTTTGGGCCATGCGAAGGAGACGGTGGGCCGGGCTGCAAGGTTTTCGTTGGACAGATGGTCCACCCGGTTTTCCATACCGAAAGGAGGGCCCTATAAGGAAATGCCCGACCTAAGCTTCTTCGAACGCGGGATCTATAGTAACCTGGAAAACCTAACAGTCTATTAGTTAGGGCGTCGTCATTGCTCGAATTCTGACGAGCTGAGACGGCCTAGGTAGGGTGGAAGGTTTAAAGGTCTAGTTTGGACGAGGCTCTCTCACGGAACAAGGACGCCAGGGAGGGGGTGGTGGGGTGGCCTACTAACCTGCCGCCCGGATGCATTGAGAGGCTGCTTGAAGAAGCAAGGTCAGCGTCTCTTTCGTCCTCGGTCATGGACCTGACCCTTTCCTAATGCCAGACTCCGTCTCCCGAACGTCAAAGGCTTCGAGCAGTACAGACGAAAACCTGGGGGCGAGTAGTCCCTCACAGGTAGCCCGGCATTAGGGCTCGTTGGCAGCTTCTTGCGCCAGTGCAGCTGCCCGGGTCTTCTGTGTCCTCTTCATAGAAGTAAAAATAACAAAGAGAATGGGCAAGTCCAGAACGTCCCTCCCTGTCCATCCCGGCGAAGACTACTCCTGCGTCTAAGTCGCTCCTCCCTCCGGCTTTATTGAAAAAGTCTACTCATAATCAGGGTGGAGGGGTGGCGAGGAGACATCTAATCGTACGTATCCCTCGCAGTCCTTGCGATCGGTACATACGATTGCGTAAAGAGACAGATCAGACGACGGTAGTAAGTGGTCATCAAAGAGTAAGTGGACAGGAGTGGAACAAAAGGTGTGGGTGAGCAATCGAGTGAAGAGANCTCCTGCAGGGGGGCGTGGTCAGTTGCAGCTCACAGAATCAGCCCCCTGCAAAAACAGGCTGGATAGAGCAAATAGAGCGAAATGAGGCATGGCTAAAATGCAGGATCTGTTTGGTATTTTGAAAAAATATATATATTTATATACTTTATATAGGTATGGCCCTACAATATATGTTTCAAATATAGCATTATAAGTCCACTTTAAGCATTTTTAAATACCAAATCCAGGGTTTCTTTGTTTTTCTATAGCTTGAGGAGCATTTACTGCAGAGGATGGAGGCATTGATGGATTGTATCATTCCCTGTAGACTTTTACGACTGAGACCTCCATAATAGCTTACCTGTGCTCGATTTGATAGTCTCTTGACCGACCGTTTGTCCAAGCAGGTCGTACTGGTTAAGGCGGGAGCTTTCTCCTTCCACCACGACAGAGTCGGAGGCATTTCGAGTCCAAGCATAAGTCACTTCTGAGATTGTATAGGCATCTGAAAAAAGAGAAGAGGGATAAACCCATAGGGGATAAATGTGGGGCAGCTGCAGCTATCGATGATTTTACGAGGAAATATTTCACTGACCCAAATTAAAAGCCCCAACTACATTGTGTTTGAAGCTGTGTTTCTAGAAAATAAGGGATACTGTAGGGAGAAAAAAAATCTCTCTGTGGCTGAAGATGGAATTCATACAATGCCAACAAGCAATTGATGCTCAGTGGCATTTGCCCTTTTCAATCAGTCACACAGCGTACACTGAATATGGAATTTGAAAGCTTGTAGCTAACCTATGAATATCTGATGAAACAGAAAAACTGATTTTTTTCCCTTCTATATACATTATTGAAATATTCTGCCAATCAGGTCATGCTTCAGATTGTGGTGTTGTACAGAAAATAGGACATTATACTTTTACAATTCCTTGTTTCTAGATCAATATTTTGAAAGCAGCTTAAAGCGAAAATCCTCATCCAAATTTAAAGAAGCCATGGAAATGAAATATACATTAAAAAAAAGGTATAAATTGGAAAAAATAAAGTATTTGGATGAGATTTGTACCCATATCTCCCAGTGACATTCCCACTCAGTCCTTTATCTGGCAGCTATTTTTATGTATCTTTTTAATTACTGCATATTGAGTGAAAATGTGAAGGGTTAATGCCGGAAAAGTGAGCCATGCAATCCAGCTTCACTCGGTTCTTAGGCTGCTGTCTTTCTAAAAAACCAGTGAGCAGAAAAAAGAAGGAAAAAAAGCAAAAAAGTTTTTCACTTAAGGTCCCGAAGGCGCTATCATCATCAGAGGTACTCACAGCTGCCAAATTTGAGTGGACAGGAATGAAAGTCCATGGGGAAATCCTCCAGATGCATTGGGCACTCTGCATGCACAGTTAACCTGCATCCAATTCACAGAAAATTAAAGAGACTTTCCAAATGCATGAAAAGTAAACAGCACAGATTAGGCACGGTCTCGAATAAAAAAGAAAACTCATATGCCTCATGCACTATTCAAGACACTTCCCATCTGTAATGCCGTGGAATAAAAAATAATTCATCTTGACTGTAAACAGCAGAGCAAAGTAAACAAGGTGCTGCAGCAGAAATCAAATAAACAAACGTGTGTCGACGTGACATTAGCTTGAATAAGAAATTCAATTATCGTGAAAATAACTTGCAATAGATTTTCATTCATATTGATTTTCATGAAGAAAGGCATGTTGACAACAAATATAGCATCAGTGGCATACAAATGGAAGCATGAAGAATACATTTGAACATTGATTCTGCATTGCTTGGATAAAGCTAGCACATGCTAAGAACAGTAGGTAGGTCTGTCAAAGTGAAAGAGTTTTGCTGAGAGGATGGAGACCACTTTCATGTCTGTACACTCAATATGCACCCTCTTCAAATGTTTCATTATTCGTTTTAATCCAATGAATAGATGGTACAGCATGGCCCTTATTTAAAAATGTATTAGCAGATTACACCAAATTAAGTTAATTAAGGGTTTATCATGAAGTCTGTAGTTATTTCACAGTGGTATTTCAGGTCTTTGAACGGGGCTAATGTGATGTGATGGGATAACTCACGGGAGGGCTACTATATTCATAAACTATTATTCTTGCCCTCTTGCTTTTACTAATGTTGTTTTATATAGCAACCTTAGTCACATATTTAGCCTACTTAAACAATGTGTTAAGTAACAAACCTACTCCCGGGAAGGTGTCTGATAATTGCCTTTAATGGGCTGATAACATTCAAAGTTTGTTAAATGAATATTAAGCTACAGCTCATAGCGTGTTAGCAAAGTACAAAAAAAGTTGGGAAAAATCTTGCCTAGCTATGTCCAAATATTACAAAATCAGCCGTTAATGTTTATTAATTTAAGTACAGTACAAACTAACTTTTGGTGATACAGGGTGAAATGTCCCAGACTAGTTTATATTACGCGTAAATACATTGCAGTGGTATAAGTTCCCTCAAGGCTAGAAGGCTTATAAGAATATCACCTACTAGTCGAGAAATACCTTTAAAACACATATGTGGCTTTTTCTTTGGACATGTTCCTTGAATTACCTCATGGTGTACAGCAGGGTCCCATCATCTTTGATCCTCAGCAGTTTATTGGGCATGGTCATGTTATGAGCCACAGACTTCTTCCCGTTGTGGAAGAAGGTGTCCGGAGTCCAGATTTTACTGGCCATCAGGTTGTTGAGCGGCAGTATATTCATCGGTCCGCTAAATTTCAACCTCTCGTCCTTCCAGCTTTGCCTGAAAAAGACATCGATGGTGTACTCCTGTAGGGAATACATGAGTAAATAATCATTTTGATGCCGTAACTTTCCATCAAGTACTTTCTGCTTAAGAAATGCTGACTACACCTGCCACTTTAAAACTCAGGCGCTGAATGGCTCTCCCTATTTATCAAAGCTCCATCAAGGTGAGGTCTGTGTCTCTGTGTTCCCCTCAGCTTTTCTAAGAGGGTGTTTTCTAAGCTTGCTCTGAGGCCGAGACAACCCCTTGACCTACAATCCTCTGTTGTCAAAAAGAAACACACACAAGAGAGGATTTAGGGCAGAAAGCGCTGCACTGTGAAATATGTGTTTGTGTGAGAGCCAATGTGTGTGTCTGTGCGATTTGAGCGCACAGCGAGCAAAGACTGAGTGGGAGATACATTCCTCCAGAGTGTATTTTTCTGGTCACAGTTGAAAGGGCCTCTGACATTTAGATCAACTGAAACCAAAACTTAAGGGCGGGTCTACACAATAAATTACAGTAAAGGTTTATTAAAATGTTTGTCTTCTTTTTGTCGTAATGGACAGCTTTAGTATTAGTCATCATAACATTCTACACTCTTAAAGTACTTGGGATATGGTAACGCGAAAATATATGTCAGCTGTCCGTCAATCAGACAAGTTGAGAACAAGCTAACTGTGTAGGAAAATAATTTACAGCCAATTTTTGAGAAGTTAAATTAATTCCCCTCAGTCAAGTAAACACAGTAAAATGGAAGCAGGAAGTTGTTTTTAAAGCTCAATAGTTGTTTAAAACAACTTGTTTATGTCACTTGAGATCAATGAAGGTTGGACCCAAATGCAGGACGTTCACGATCTTACTAAATAATACAAGGCAGGGCAAGGCTAAACAAACAGACCAATACTCTTTGATGCACAGCAAACAGGGATCCAACAAACAATGACAGAGAGACAGAACTTAAATACATGCAGGAGTAATCACCAGGACAAGACACAGCTTGGGAAGGCAGAGAAAACAAAGGGGCATCAGGTGAACACAATCAGGTAATCAAACATGAGGGGAACAACACAAACAGGAAGTACAAACAGACATAATACAGTGTCTGAAGGATTTTCAAAATAAAACAGGAAACAAACAGTTCATGACATTTTTTAAATAATTTACAGTTGCTTTTGCATTTCACATCCTCCTCACAAGTATTAACCTCTAATTTGCTCCAGAAATGGCTCAAATTAGCCACACTACTGCACTGGGACAACATGTCCCTTCGATATGGTGAACATCGGGTGTTGTTTATCTTTAGTCGTCCAACATAAAACATCATTCTGCCATTACACTCACTGGCCAAGTTTGTATAAATCCACGTCTGGAGATAGTCCCCAAAACAAATGCACAATTTCCACCATTTGAGTAATATTTGATAACTGTTATAGAAACCGAGCCTTTCAAAAATAATTTAAATATAGCCTGTTTGTATAATTGCAGGTCTTAGGGCTCGGTGCAGGAAACTAGAACACTTCCAAGATCTGTTTTCTTTCATGTGGTTGGTTGACAATAAAAAAAACGTCTCTTGACTTACTGTAGCCGATAAAACTGATCGCTTCACTGCTTGTGACTCCTGCCCTTTCCGACGTGTAATAACATTGATTTATGCTTAAATGCACGGTCACTACACAGACCACACCTAGTACATTCTGCTGCATAAATCTGCATAAAGACAAAAGATATTTTTTTATTTGCTTTGTTACCTTTGGCCTCTTTGTTTAGCTAATGCTCTTTTGAAGCTAATGCAGGATGTTTTCTTGTTTTACTTGTTTCATTTTTAAGCTTTGGCTGTCAGTCGTCCTCCTATAAATCTGTTGAGGCCACCGCAGCAATCAAATGAATTGCTTTACAGTATTTGAATTAATCAATCAGGTCAAAGGAGAATATATTTCAGGCTGTGCAACATCAACAACTGCAATAAATCATATGTAATCAGCCTTTTGCCTTATTTTTGCTAATTCTATACTTTTCTTAAAACATGAAATAAGATATCCCATAGATATTTGTTCTCATTCTGTCATATTGGTAACTTGTTCACCTCTGCCAGTGATATTGAAGGATGTTTTCACCTTGTCAGCTCTGTCCATCTGCTTGTTTTCAAGATTTTTTGAAGGAACCATTTGGCTGAAATGTAGCGTAGGGATCACCCTCGGGTAGGTGGTGACCTGGGATTTCCTCGAAGAGATCATTTGAATGTCTAAGTCTTAACGTTTTCATATTTTGTATATTTGATCTGGTCCACAGAAGTGCTGTTTCATGTTTAACTGAGTGCCCTCTAGTTTACATATCTCTCAGAGGCCACTGCATTGAACTCAAACATCATAACTGCTAAATCAATAGATCAATCACTTGGGAAATGGGTCTTCAACAACAGAAGGGACGCTGATGATATGATGTGAGGGATGGGCGCATGTCAGTATGATAAACAGGAAAGCCCAGGATGAATAAAAAGGAGTGACTGGAATAACAAGAAGACTTTCAATAATGTATAAGGAGACAATCATCCGATAAAAAGACGTGGTGCTGTGGTGTGGAGAACTGGAACATTATGAAATGAGGGAAAGCCGTGATGATACTAAAAACACGGCAGAAGCATATTTTCTTTCTTTGTGTAAGGTATGAATATTATCCACAGCCAACATAGGGTTGAAAACCTACTATGCCCTATTATGCTTCTTGGGGTTTCCCTTTCCTGTAGTGTGTTATAAGGGTTTCTGTGCATGTAAATGGTCTGCTAAGGCTCAAATCAGTGTTCCCTCCTGAGGGAGTTTCTCTCCCACATACTGAAACGCCCTGATTGGACTCCTTTGTTTTCTTCTCTAACATTGTGACATCACCATATAACGCTTGCGCTTCTGTTGGCTAGCGCTCCAACACATTTTCATGATAGGCTAAGGGGCGGGACATCTCTAAGTGGTTGACCAATCACAACAGATAACCAGCTAACCAATTAGGGCAGACTGGGTTCTGGTTTCAGACAGAGGGTGAAAAGAGGTGCTGCAGCACAGGCAGTATGAGAAAAATAAAGAGCTTTGTGAACATTAGAGCATGGAAACATGTCACAGGAGAGACATGAAATACAAATATGAACCTGAAAATGAGCATCATAGGGCCCCTTTAAACTAAATAAAAGGCATGTCTGCTCTCACCATGTCTGTGTCTGAAACTGGTCCGAAGCTGGTGACGTAGATGTTTGTCTTCACCTCTGTTATCCTGTCTGAATAAGAGAGAAAAACAAGGCGTCAAAACACTTAGGACGTCAAAACAATGTTAAAAAGAAAAGTTAAAAGTCGTTGAAGTGGAGAATATGTCATGTTTTTTATGTTTCCTCAGACCTGTCAGATGCTTAGTATAAACTAGAAAACTGAACATTATAAATGAAAAGCTTAATTGTTGTGTTGTTTTAAGGAGAAAACAACAATAATTGAGGAGTATTACTATGAGCATAAAAGAGCTTTGGTCGTCATTTCTTTTTTTTGCAACAACCATTTGATGAATTGTAATTTCATTTTTAGTGTCAGCCATTCACATTACCTACGCACGACTGACTTTACTGTCCTACAACCTTATTAGAGCTGTGTTACGGTACTGTTAATGAAAAATTAACCTAAATACAACTGGCAAAACACAGGGAGGCTTTTATTGTGAAGCAATCAAAGGAAAGGCAATGTATTTGGTGGGATAAACGCTGACAGCAATCTTACTTTCAAAATGAGCCTACAAAACAAGACGTGGCTTTTAGACGATGCAGCAAATAACGTTGCTCTCTGATTGTTGAAGGTTTGATTCAATTGTAAGTCATGCAGGATTTAAAGGGTCTTCCAATAGACCAACTATAAAGTCAATAACATTTTCCGAGTCAGCATATTGCTCACGATATCCTTGTATATTGCCTTTAACTAGCAGTATTCCCTCGCAGAGCAAGTGTTGTCAGCATGTCTTGATAAACAGGCTCATTTTAAAGTAAAGTGTTATTACTGTACAGAGCCTCAAGCTGGATGACTTGGGCTTGTGCGCTGACAAGACTATGTGATGTTTAATTTGTGCTGGCAAATTCATCAAAAGGTGGGATCAATTTGATTACATTTAAGTGACAAATTGTATCTTGTGCAGAACATTTTTTCAAGTGTGGCCTTGATGGATTTCTCTTTCTCTCTATGGCCACCCCTGGCCTCCGTAGCTCAGTATTGTTCAATAACAAAGAGAAACAGATGCCTATAGAACGTATAAATGTGACTAGATACATCATGTTCTGATTATAAACCAACAGCTCTTCACATTCAAAGATGTCATTTTGTTCTTAAGGTCACATACGGTTCAACGATGCGTGAAAAAGGACAAATGTGTTGCTGATAAATCCCAAGGATGAACTGTGCACAGACTCAGCTCACCTTTACGCGACCTGTTCGAGCCAATTCACAGGCAACTCTTGTAAGATTAGATGTATCATGCCACAGTCACGTGCAAGATATGATTTCAAGCGTATACATTTGTTTTAAATGTTCACAGTGATGTGATAGAGAGCAAAAAAGCAACCCTCTCATACTCTATGCCTCCTGTTTAAGTGGTGTTGTGCAACGTGTGTCCGCGCCGCAACATCAGGTCCATTTGCTTTCTCTACATTCTGTCTCTTTCAATAATTACTGAAGCTCCATCTCTCATGCTCAGTCAATTCAAAAAGCTTTCACGTTTTACGCTACACTCTGTACTACACGGCCAGCAGCATCTCACACAAGATCTAAAGAGATTATTACTCCCCGGTAAAGTGCTCTTCTGCACGGCAAGGGGGCACCGCCATTCAAGCCCCATATTATGGGTCATGTAAATCAGGAGGAAGTGGCAGGTCACAGGTAATAGGTGCAATCCATTTAGCAAGACATGCAGCCAGGGCGCATTTATTTATGTAAACCAGACTTGTGTATGTGAATCAGCCTGATTTCAAATGATGTTTTACTGTGAGTCACAGAGGACTCCATTAGTTTGATTTCTTTAAAGGGAGATGCTCTTTGTGGATGCACATGTGAAACAGCATCTCGGTATAAGCCGTGTTGGAGAATAAATGCTGTCACACTTCACTGCTTCTTCTTGTAGAAAGATACTTTGTGGAGGTTCATACGGTGAACTGAAATGGGTTCTTTTTAACAGTCCATTGTATCGTGTTTTGGACATTTCTTAAATCAAATCATTCATTTGTCTCTGCCGCCTTAGGTCTTTCAGGGCAGACAAATTCTTCTTCTGCTTTTTACATGTGTGATTCTGATAGTTCACCAGTACTGCAATACCACATGGTACAAGTCTCTGTCCACCACTTTAAAGACACACTGCTCCGCCAGTCGAAAATCTGCTCAAAGATTGAATGAAGGTCAACCTTAGAGAGAAAAACCTACAACAATGACATGTTGAGGCAGGCAAACAACATTATCCCTGACCCCAACCAAGTCCTGAACAGCGAAAATGAATTGTTACCATCAAATCACAGATACAGGCTCCCAGGATTTAATGTGGTTAGACAGAAGCATTCTTTTGTGCACCAGTCAGTCCTATAGATTCAATACAGAGATAAATCCACGATCAGATGTGTAGAGGGTCTTGTGATGTAAAGTGAAATGGCTGTTCCCTCGTATCTTGTCTTACAGATGTGTCATGTTGCAAATGGAGCTGCTGTGATGGAAGAACAATTTCAGACTTGATCTACCAATAAAGTATTATTGTATGGTTTCGTCAATTATCAGAACAACTTTTTTTGTAGTTGTATTTTTTGAGAAGCTTCGTCCAGATTTCCTATATTTTTTAACAAATATTGATTGTGTTTTTCTTCTTATTGTACAACACATTTATACTTTATTTTTATTTGTATTTTTTACATTCAAATTAGAATTGCACTGTTAGCTCTTTTTGGATATTTAAAGTTGATGTTTTAAAATGTTGTTTAGTTTACTTTAACTGGATTCTTATTTATACATTTTTGTTGGATCTTTTGGAGGGAATTGACTTGAAAGGCCTTTTGCTTCATGGGCTAGCTGTTTTTTGTGTGTATACAGTATATGAGGGAGGCGTGTGGCGCAGTGGATTAGTGCGTTTGTGTTCGTATCAGGGGAGCACAAGTTCGAACCCCACTGCAGTTGGCATGTCGTTGTGTCCCTGAGACACTTCACCCCAAATGGCTCCTGTGGGGGTTGTCCACAGTATTGAGTATGTAAGTCGCTTTGGATAACAGCGTCTAACAAGTAACATGTAATGTAATATGAGATATTATGTACAGTTAATGCAGGTTTGTTGACATTAGTTTGTCGACCGTGTTCAGGATTATTTTTTGTGATATTGCAGCCAACAGAAAAAATCAGTATCAATGAAAAGAACCCACAACAATGAAGTTCCAAGTCCATTTGCATTGCATGAGTGGAGCAAACTCACAGGCAAAGCTAACCGTATTTGCACAAATGATGCATCCTCGCAGCGGAAAACCTAGGAAAGCACAGCCCTCGGGGAAAGTCCATGTTTTCTATTTAAAAATATACAGAGTGCATTTATTGCCCCAGGACGTCAGGACACTTATTTAAAGGAGCGAGGACAATACCCAAAGTTCATTTATTCAGCAAGAACGGCCAGAAACATGTGCTCTTGTACTCAGCATCACATGGTGCAGATGGGCCTGCTGAACCATGTTTAATTGGTCAGACAAAAAAAAGGGTCTTCTTTAAGGGGCAGCGCATCCTGCCGTGCACAAAGGTACACAAAGGTACACAAAGGTCAGCTTAACTCCTGCCAGTTCAGACCAAAAGCATCCGCAAGAAGAAGAAGAAGTTGTACTGCTGGATGGGACAGGGATAGTGAAGGAAATAACTCCAGAGGAAATGTCTTTACACCTGATGTCTTGTGCTGTCGGTGAATGGCTTTGATGTTTGTGTATAGTTAGCTTAGCTAGCTCTTTCTTCTTATTGTATGAGCAGCATACCAATGTTGTGTCAAATTATCATATAATCATTTAAAAGATATGAACGTATGTCTTATAATCTGATTGCTTTTTACTTTGTTAAATTGTATTTTTAGTCGTGCATGTGTTTAACAGAGACATATGTTTAGGATTTACATTCCAGGAGGGCAAAGAGAAGGGTGTTAAAGGTGGATATGCAAACGGTGAATGGTTTTATGGTTTAATGATGGGATGTTTAGAATTGCCTAAGAAAATGTATGGGAAGTACCAGTTGGCTGTCTTCTTTGTACTATATAGTAAGCTGTGTTCGGTGTGTGTGTGTACCTCTTTATCCTCTGAGGATGAAGTTGCTCTGTTTTGCATTTGAGATCAATTTGAATTGTATTTGACTTTCTTTATTACTTCATTAAGTACAACAACTTCGTCCATTAATCAGTTTCTTTTCAGGGAATTCAAATTTCCACAACAACCAACATTTTGACATTACATTATATGTCATAATTCATTATCCTAGACAGCCTACGGGAGCAATTTGGGGTCAGGTATCTTCCAAGGACACTTCGACATTTGAACTGCTGGGAATCAAACCGCTGGCCCTCAGATTGGTAGAGGCCAATTACCCCCTGGACACACCCGTCCTTATGTGGTCAACTATCAGAGGTAACCAATCCAACCAAATCCCTACCAATCGTAACACAATGATAAAGGTTAGCTTCTGCTTCAGGTTTATTTATACTATGGGATGCGTAATACATTTGCGGTCGTGTTGTGATTTTCAGGAAAGCAGGTCTTTTTTGAAGAATCATGAATCATTTCTAAATTGGAAGCCATCTATCTCTAAATCTGTCTGTTTTGTTAAGTCTTGCATTGTATATTTTTTCTAGCAGCTCTTACCATTTCTGTGGATTTTGATCGCCGATAATAACAAGCATCAAATGCATCAAACTCAACATCAACATTGTTTTATTTTAATATATGTCTGTTACGTATAATCTGACATATGCTTAAGCAATACCAAGAAACGTTACTAAAAACCTAATGTAGTATAAAATGCGCTTTTTTAGGTTGTTTTGTGTCAATTATTAGATAACATCTACTCATATTTGACCAAAAATGTAATAGTTACAGTTTAAATATTTACTATTTAAGGGTTATATAAAACTGTTTCCTGTCAAGGCGGATGGATGTAATAACCATGATATCCTGGAATGCTTTCTAAGACATGAGTACCTTTTTTTCCTCAAAGCTCTCTAGTTGTCAGCTCACATTGGAAAAGTAACCTT